ATATTTTATATTTATAAAGGCGATCTTTTTCTCCAAACTAAAAAAATATCTACAACAGGTAAGATATTCATCTTCAGTGTGAACCAAAACAAAAAGTTGTGATAAACTCACATTTCCCTCCTCCTCTCCTTTTCATTTCATCTCAACATTATTATTATTTAAATCTTTATATGATGATGAAGATGCATGTTTTATACATTGTACTGTCCATCACCATAAACCAGATTTAAACACTCAACATGTTTCCAACACACAAAAAGAAACCCATCTTCARTGGAAGTTGATCTGCACCCACCATCACAAACAAACAAATAAATAAATAAACTGAAGTCAGTTCTGCCTTTTTGCACCRTCTCTTTTCTGGTTGCTAAGTGCATCAGACTGATTCTTCCCACCACCGGGAGCCATGGTAACCCCATCCACCGACTGACTGTGCTACAGATAGATACTGTCACTACTGGTTTTCATCTCTCTCTCTCTCTCTCTCTCTCTCTCTCTCTCTCTCTCTCTCTCTCTCTCTCTCTCTCTCTCTCTCTCTCTCGCCTGCTAAAATAGAAACAGTATGATTCAGTGCAGCCACCTCGCTGCTGGAAAACGTAGAAGTGCAACAAGTTAACACGCCTCCGCTTTCCCACTTTTTCTTTAAAGAGTCTTTGTAAAGTTTCTGCATTTGCATTCAGCTGGCCAAGTCTTCTCCTGTGAGTTATTTTGGTTTAAATAAAACCTACTAATCAGGAACAGAACCCCCACACTTCAAACGGTTATATTTGGCCCAGAACCGTATAGAGTATTGTTAAACTGTTTTTTTGTTTTGTTTGTTTTTTTGCTGCTGTCAGTCTCACTGACATGATTGCAAGTTTGTGTTTGACTAACGCCCTCTGCTGTTTTGACAGAGCGGACTACGTAATGAGACATGATGCAAATATAAACTGCTGAATGCAGACTGGATGAAGCTCTCCTCACATCTAAGCTGGATAAAAAGGGAAATAGGAACATTCTTACTTTAACACCAGAGAGCAGACATATTACAACAGCTCATGGTGACTGAGAAAGGGAACGCTGTAAAGCATTCGTCTTTAGGCATCTATCTCGTTACACAATTTTTCAACGTTTTAAGCATCAAAGCGTTCAGCTCCTTCATGACATTCTAGYTATCACTTTTAGTATTTCATCTATTTAAAACCCCTCMAAATGTTCATCTTTACTTGTACCTTTTATTTTTGTTCAACTTTTTTAACTTCTTTGTGCTAATTTCAGCTTGTTTTTACTACATTTTGCAGTTTTTTTTAAGCATTTTCAGCTAATTTTCAACTTCTTTTGTGTTCCTTTTTTGGGTTAATTTAGCTTCATTTAGCTGTTTTTATTTGTCCCTGACTTTTCAGCTACTCTTTAACTTTCTATTCCCTCCAAACTAAGTAATATTTACCTAAATTCACAGCTTGGTGGTCATACCATCTTTTTTCTGCTTAATTCAGCAAACATCCATTTGTTCTGCTAATTATAGCTTTTTAAGCTACCTTTCAGCTACTGTTAGCTATCCCCCCCCAGCTAAATTCACCTTTTTGCCATATTTTCAGCATCTTACTAAAAAATCAGCAAACACACTCTTTCAGTGATGACCCCTGTTAATTTCACGGTCACAAAATAAGAGGTGAAGGTCACAGGTTAGTCATTCTTCTGCTTGTTTTACCTTCTTTCATCTAAATTTCTCTTTTTATGGTTCAGAAATTCCCATGTTTTTGCTTCTTGGGACCGTTTTCTAATAGAGTTAACTTTTTTCTGCTAATATTTATTAGTTTCTGCTCATTTCTGAGCTGTTCAGTGTTTTTCACACATTTTTCTTCTGATTTGTCTCTTTTGTTCCACTTTCAGCAAAAGTCAGCTGTTCAAATTTAACACAAGAACAGTTTAGTTATTAAACCGGTTCAGCTCCACTTCAGCAGCATAAAGCTTTCAGCATTACGCTGATTTGTGCAGGAAATGCACTTTTTCTACTTTTATCTGTCACAGCTAAATAAAATCATAAACAAACAGAGATAGAAACCTGAAGCCAGTCTGAGCTTCCATCAGTTGTCTTGTGTGGAACATGACGTCCACCAGGGGGCGACATCCGACTGTCAACCAAACAACACAATGCTGCACAATTAACCCCAAATTTAGATGTGCTTCTTAAAAAGATAGAGTAGCATTTTTCAGTACTTGGACAAATAATCGTTTRAATGTAGTTTGGCCATGGTTTGGCCTGTGTGATTAAAGATGAAGTGGTTTGTAGTGTTTGTTTCAGCAGCATGCACCTGAGAGACCATATGGTTCCACTCCYACCCCCTCACGCTCTTCATGGTCTTCCTCGTGTCCGAGTGTTTGCCCTCAAAGCTGACAGCCAGCGACCCCGGGGCCGGCCTGATTATCCAGCTGGCGGTCGGAGCACGGCTCCTCGCCACGGCTGTTTGGCAGCGGGCCTACTGTACCTGCCTGTCTCAGTCTGCCTCGGATGCTGAGAAGACTCGTGACAGGAGGCCCGGCCGTCTCAATCTGCTCATCTTTTTTTTATTATTTGTTGTTGTTTACATGTCACGAGAGCTGGAGTTCAGAAAACGCCCACTCAAAGTTCAAACGGAGTGAGTGGGTAAACCAGGGAGGTCTCCACTCACAGACGGGACAAATTAAAAGAAAATGTTTGCGTCGTTTAGAACAAAAAGACTGGAAACACTTCAGATGTTTTGAAGTGGAGCTCTATAGAAACATAAATAATAAATATCTTACCTGTTCTGAAGGACCTCAGTTTGGAAAAAGAGAGTTTAATGATGAGTTTWGCTAGTCTGAACAGAGCAAAGATTAAAGTTGTGTCAACTCAAAACTTCATTTATATCAGTTTATCATTACAWGGTTATTTCCATGTCTTATGATAATTTGCAGCTGTAGAACCTGYAGTCAGGGGCAACACTAAGAGGGGKYSRGGGGGGCAAAACCCATCCCTAAAATATTGGTGCCTCCCTGTCCAGCATCACAAAGGCAGCAGAATTAACAGCAAGTGAATACAATGTAAAATAAAATAAACTTACAAATAGAATAGAATAGAATAGAATAGAAACAGCCGTTATTGTCCCGCAGATGGGAAATTCAGGTGTAACAGTTACAGCAGCAGCAGATGCATCAGTTCACAAACAATATGTTGCTATGCAACAATAATAATGGTACCAATAATAATAGAAAAAATAATACAAATATTGTAAAAGACAACAAATATTAAGATACTGTGCAGGAAAATTACAAAGAAAACAATCATTTTAATAATTCAATGCAATAAAGAGAAGTTTTTGAAAAATGCACCTAAGTTTGTCGCATTATAAAGCTTCCTTTTCTACTATGGATGACACTGTTTGGTTTCTCAGTAAGTTCAAGAGGTTCTTCCCCTGACTCTGTTCCAGTCCGGTAGTTTTCCGGTGAACTGGGGCTCAGCTGTTGCAGCTCACAGGCTGTGTTTACAGCTTCACCGGACAGCGGTGAGTCACAGCATTTATGTGTTTGAGTGCTGCGTTTCKGCTGTTTAGCCTCTCAGTGTTTAGAGTCTGCGGAGGCCACACTGGAAAGTTTGTCCCTCGACACAACGCCGTCACAGAACTTTGTTTTTTTTTTTTTTGAAGTGGGGGAATATTTGATTTATCATTCTCATCCTGATGAGGTCCCTCAGCTCTGAGTTTTTACACACTTGACGTCAGCGCAGCGAATCRTGTTTCATCCTGTCCTTTTTCTTTTTTCGCAACTGAAGCAAGTKTAGGCAGAAGTGGTTCTGTCCTCAAGCCACAGCAGATTACACAACAATATCCAAATCACACAAACACAATTAATTTGAGTGCTCATTCAAGTAGAGATGAATGAAAACAAACGGGAGTTGATTTCCTCTGAAACAGTCTGAACTCATGCCAAACATGAGTCAGAAGGTACTTTATATATATATAT